TTTTAAATTTTTCCCATATTGGATCATTATTTAGCCCCAAGACATGTTGTATTCCTTGTTATCCAGTTCCCAAACTTACCACCTCTCCAAACTCTCTTGGAAAATTGTGTGTGTGCTCAGTCATGACCCTCTGGACTGTAGCCCACCAGGATCCTCTGTCCATGGGATTTCCCAGGCAAGAATACTGGAGTGGGTTGCCATTTCCTCCTCTAAGGGATCTTCCTGACCCAGGGATAAAGCTCATGCCTCCTGTGTCTTCTGCATTGAAGGCAGATTCTTTACCCCCTGAGCCAAAAGTTTCTAACACATTAGATCAGTTTTCCAAACCTGGGTCATTGTGCACTAGAAGATGCAAAAAATATTCCAAGATCCAGATATGAATTGTTCCAAAGGAATCATTCCCTGATCTTCAACTCCACAGTCAGTTCTGCTTAAAATGTATCTGCTTGAGAAGGGGTTTCTTCAAGCCCTTTCCCACTTTCCTTTCAAAACCTTATCTTCCTCTGCATAACTGAATCTCACTGAGTGGAAGTGCTCCAGAATGAAAGTTTCTCAGTACTAATGGCAGTGATGAGAACATGAATGACTGGATAGACCATCCTTTTGCAAGTCATGGTTTCCAATATGTTCCTTTCAACACAATTGAAATGGAAGCTAAATGAGTTGTCAATAAGTCAATAAAAATAATTTTGATAATAGATCAACTAATGGAAATTTCAAATAATTGAGTGTTTTTACTATAACAAAACAAATTCCATTTCCTGAGCTATGGCATATGAATATCATTTATTTGTGTAAATTCGTTTTCTCAGTGTTTATATCTCCAAAATAAAAAGTAAGGTTGGATATGATGCTGAAATCTTTCTCATTATGGTATTAAGTACCACACCACAACTTCAAAAAATTACAATTCAAATTATTATTAATATTCTAATAAACTTTTAAGTACTACTTTAAAAAACATTATATTTTTATTGATTTGTGGAATTATATAACAACATACAGAAGAAAATCTTTTTACAGTTTCAAGAGTACAGGAAAAAAACAAAACAAAACAAAAAAAAAGGTAAGTAGATAGAGAAATCAAAAGTAGATAGAGAAATCAAAAGTCTGGAAATATATTCAGTTCAGCTCAGTCACTCAGTCATGTCCAACTCTTTGAGACCCCATGGACTGAAGCATGCCAGGTTTCCCTATCCATCACCAACTCCCAGAGTTTACTCAAACTCACATCCATTGAGTCGGCGATGCCATCCAACCATCTCATCCTCTGTCATCCCCTTCTCCTCCCGCCTTCAATTTTTTCCAGCATCAGGGTCTTTTCCAATGC